GCTGGGGTGTACCTAAAACATACATGTATAGGCAATTCATATATGTAATATTAGGGTGAGATTATTTTTACTAATATTGAGAAATTAATACTCAACCATTTGTATGGCTGACTGCTTACCCAGCTATTGGCAGGACATAGAGCCCAGCTCTGTAAGGGTTAAATATGCCATCTATCTATCTATCTATCCATCAATCCATCCATCCCACAAGTGGGGGTCAGAGGGCATGATGTATCATGGCACAGCAATCAGCATGCTCTTTGCAAAAATACCTTCCAGCGAGACATTCATTTAATTAATTTCTTCCTCTTCTTAAAAAAAATGATCTACTACAAAATAGTGGAGTGTACACTCCATTTATTGGCACAAAGATTGCTAGTCTCACCGTAGTAACCAGGGGCTGTAAATAGATTATTTCAACAATGTTTTATTAAAGGAAGACAAGAGCCCTCAGGCTGCATTAATCGGTGAGAAGTCGAGTGGCACTTTTGTCATGGAAATGTTAAGCATATAATAGCTCAGGCAAACAATGTGTGGAGCCACTTCATTCTTTCAGCCATGCTGACACCTCTTAAAGAGGAGCTGCAGGGAAGAATGTGGGAAAGCACTGCTCTGCTGAAGGTTTTAGTTAATGTACAGGAGACGTGCAAACACATCATTTACAGCCAAGGTGTGACTGTACATTTTCTGGAAGGAGGAAGCTGGGTTAACTCCTGAAATATAAACAACAAAACCTAACTGTGCCTGGGCGTGACCTTTATTTTTGATAGATATATATAGAGAATGCATTAAACTATATGCACAAAATTATTTTTCTATCTTTGTTGCTGCAGATTCACATTCTCTCACGTCAGGAAGAGACTCCACCAATCATGGGCACCGCATTCTGGTCTATAAGGTTTGATCTTATCCCATAAACCTTTGCCCAATAGAGGTTTATGGGAAATGTAATTCAGCCTCTAGCATCAGAGAAAACAAATGCAAATTGTACATTACAGCAAAATAATGCAAATATGGGACATGCACGCATACATAAGCATGCGCACACATTATCTCTCTCTATCTCATATACTACATCCCTGTAGATACTTGTGTGTCAAGCTAAGACTCACAATTAATAGAGTGTAATCTGTTGTGGTGCAGTGTTCAAATATTTGTATCTTTTTATTTTTTTATCATGCTGTTTTTACATATTGTTTTCTGAATTCCTTTTCTAGATACTGCATTAAAAAAGAAAGGGTCAGCTTCAGGCTGATGTCATTTTAAAGGAGCATTCTGTTAAAAAAAATAAATAAAAGCATAACAATTATACCCCAAAGATATACCCCAAAAGAAAATATACAATTTATTTTGAATGTTTTATTTTGTTTATATTGAATCCTGGCTTACAATTGTTGTAGATCTAGTACCTGCCCTTCTTCCCCACTACAGACTTTCTGCGGCTGTCCAATCACAGACCTTTCACTAAGCGGTATTACACCTTATTGAGAAGTCTTTGCAAAGCAGGCGCTCTGGCAATTGCGGACTCTTGAGTTTAATCCCATGGAGCTAAACCTCTAGAAAGTACAGGACCGGCTGTCTAACTGAGCTAGTAGGTTACAATGTTCACTTATAAGTCTGGATTCTACTGAGAACGGCACTCTGATATAATAATAAAAAATATAGGACGCACTTCTCCTGCATAAAGCACTTTAGTAAGCTGAAGTGTTTTTTTTATGTGTATTGTTTTTCTTTAATACAAATTTAAGGGAGTAAGAGATATGAGTGTCAGATATGATAACATTTGAGGAACAGATTTGTAATCAAGTGTAAATAAAAATAACATAAATATGTGGAGTTCCAATATGAAATAAATTAACACAGCAATGTTCAGTCACTTGTGCACTGTGCGTATATACACATATAGTTTTGTGCGAGGCAGACTTGCTATACACTTTCATTTTGTTTTTCCAAGACTGTTTCTGTGGACAATGCTAATAAAGTGATGAAGTGTTATGAGCAACATGAGGTGACTGCTGGGCCTGCTACAATTACTGCTTGAATGCATTATGCAAGTCTGTCTGAAGTAAAAGTATTAACAATGTATTCCTGCACAATGAACCTTCACTTTAGCCAAAATAAAATAGTTTCACAGATTGTTTTTGTCTTAAAAAGCTGAAATGGACTAGCACAGATTGAAAAATAATTGACTCCTATTTCTCTTTCCATCACTCTATATTTTTACTGTCTTCTGGTGACTATAACAGAAAAATATTTTTTGAGTTACCTGGCATATTTAGTCTTTGCAAATGGTCTTAAAATTACTTAAATGCAGCATAAATATCATATTGCAGAAACTTAAACCACAGCCGATTTTGCAGGGTTCAAAGGTGAAGTCTTGAGACTGCAAAAGTAAAAACTGAGATGTAGGCTAGATTGTACCCATATTGTAGCATAGTGGGATAATAATGGAAGACCCAAGGCACTCTAATTATTATTATTAGGTTTTCCAAATCAATTAACATCAAATGCACACAGACAGTGCTATTTATTCAAGTGGGAATTCAAAATGAATTTCAAATGTAAGACCAAAGTAGCAGAACTGAAAGCATAGAGAATTTGGCACACAGCTATTATGACCTTATTTTTGAATTTAACTTTGGATTCTCATTTTAGTGAGTAATAATCCTGAGAACCAACCTCAAAGATAGGTCAGGGGTGCCCAAAAGGTAGATCCCTAGATGTTTTAAAACCACAGCTTCCATGATGCTTTGGCATTCAAAAGGAATGCAGAGCATCATGGGAGTTGTAGTCCTACAATATCTGGGGATCTACCTATTGGGCACCCTGTAGTAGGTCATTCACTAAGCAGAGAATTGTAGAGCACTGAGTAAGAAATGTCATGTTTTTTTACACCAAAAAAAGAAAAGCTGAAAAAAACCAAAAAACTATTTAACTACTTTTTTGGGGCTATTTTGACTTATAATATTCAACCCCTGATCAATTTTACACAGTTTCTGGTTTAATCAACAAACCCCATTGTGTTAGTACATGTCTCACTCTGAAACAATGATTCAAACTGACATGCATTTTCAGTTCTGCTGTAAAAGTTTGCTATTTAGTTAGCTAAGCAGCTGACAGGAGCCACAGCAAAGCTATATAAAACATTTAAATTATGCTTTCTTCTCATCTCATTCTCACATTAATTGCTTCATAGGGTGAGCACTGAATGGGGCTCATTCTACAAACACACTGTCACTTTAAGAGGATACAGCCGCAACTATTAATAATTGCATTGCCAGCCTATTATTGCCTAAAGAATAATGAGGGAATTAAAGAGCCTCCCCCCAACCTGAAGTTATCCTGAAATGTTTTCAATTAACTCTTGGCATCGACAGGAAAGCATCAAACCTTTCCCATGCTGAAATATGGAAAATCTGCAGGGAACATCACAGCAGGAGAGGAATTTCATTAAACCAAGCACATCACAACTCAACGACTTCTGCTCCCACTTCAAACTGCTCCATTGATAATGACTAAGACAATTTTATGGATTTGCAAAGAGAAACTATTCCATAAGATCTGTTCACATAGTTTGTTTTGGCACTCAGTACAAGAAATCTGAGCTAAAATCAACCTGTCGAGCACCAGTGACGATCAATGTCATAGTAACAATTTGGTCCTTAGAGGACCTTTTTCTAAATGGAATGTCCCACTTATCTAGCATTATCTGGGACTCTGTAGAGTTGCTGTTGGTAAATAAATAGTACATTCTATTTAATCAGGCACTTAAAGAGACACTCCACTGCCCGAATACAAAGTAAATAAATAGATATACCTACAATCAGGGCCAGACTAGGAAAAAAATTCAGCCCGAGCATTTTTGAATCGCAGAAGCCCACTGAGAAGGGGATAGGCCAGAGGGCGGGGGTGTTTTGTCATCACTGATGACAAGCACGCCCCCTCTCAAACTGAGCATGTTGGTTCAATGTGCAGAGCCCTGATGAAGAAATAAACCCGTTTTCCTGGCACTATAGGCTCCTGCAGTGCCCCCCTCCCTCGAGCCCCCCTTCCCACAGTCACTTACCTGAATCCAGCGCCAATGTCCCTCGGCACTGAGTCAGGCTCCGCCCACGCTCGCTCTGCCCACGCAATGGCCACGCTCGCATTAGGATTTCCCCATAGGAAGGCATTATTTAATTATTCAATGCTTTCCTATGGGGCAAAATCTGACTTATGAGGACCTTCAGCGTCAGATAACGGACCAAAGGTCCATTAAGACTCCGGATGTCCCTCTAGTGGCTATCTGGTAGACAGCCACTAGAGGAGGAGTTAACCCTCAGAGGTAATTATTACAGTTTTTCAGATATGGCAGTGTAGCGAAGCCCTAGTCCTAACAGGGACTTTCCTCTGCTGGATCACCAAGTGTACAATCAGGAACAAGACAATGCCAAGTAAATAGCCCACCTCCTCCTCAGCAACTGGACGACACACTGTTTTGCGAGTACAACTGACTTTATTTTGCCACACACGTTTTTGTTTTTTTTTGTTTTTTTTGTGCATTACCCCTAGCATGGGGTTTCCAAGTCAAGTACTTCTTCAGTACACACCAGATTGAAGAAGCCATTCTGGCGAAACGCGTCTCTGGGACTATTTAGAATATTATTTGATATTTTAATTGGTGGTATGGTCCCTAACCATACTCTGCTGTTCAATTGAGCCAATTACTAGACTCCAGGCTTGGGCAGCTCCTGAACACATTTGGTTTTTTTTGGTGTTCAGCCTCTGGACCATACTCCTTTAGGATCTATCATACAAATCCTTCTCAAACTGCATGTAAGATACTCTATACAAAAAATGATACTGCACTCAAAAGTTCAAGATAGAGTTCATTGCTGAATTTAATAAATCATTAGTTAATTCATTATCTTAGATAAATATAATTCATTAGTTAAGGTATGCTCTAAAGTCAGAAAAATTGATAATATATACACGCTTAAATTGGTAATATATACATGCTTGAATCGAATAGTTTAGTAGAAACAGTGCATTATGAGTCTACTACTATAACTTCATGTTAACTAAGAGAGTGCCTGACCACATCAAGAAGTATAATACTAAATTGCTGTATCTGATAGTCCAAAAAAGATGTACCATCCAGAGAAAAACCAGGTAAGTGGGAGCAAATAAGAAGAAAAAACTGAAAAATGACAAAAATTCCTTTGAAAAATAAAAAAAATAAAAGAGAAAAAAAAAAAAGAAAAAAAGTAAGTATATACAGTCCCAGTGTGTACACACTATAATATATGGGTGGATCTCACCAGTGGAAGGATAAGTCCTGTTATCCAGTTATCCGTGTCTTTTAATGTAAAGGTGAATCCCTGTAGTTGTTAAGCTTCTTTTCTTCTTCTTTTTCAAGTTGTGTATATAGAGAGATTCCACATTTGTCCCTGAGGTGCCAAGATATATTTTCTTATTAGCTGGTGCAGGGTCTCCTGTGCGGGCTGCGCGCTCGGGATCTAAACAAATCCCTTCAATGGCCCTGTCGGGAAAAAAACAGTGTAAGGCCCATACTTATATGTAGTTCGGCACGCCTGCTTGTATGCGCGGGTCGCGCCCAAATTATGTCATGATGCTCGCGTCTGCGGGTCGCATCTGTTTAGCGTCATGGTGCACACGTCAGATTACTGTGCCTGACGTGCGTGCCATTACCATTATGTAAATGTCCATTATGTAAATGTCCACATTCCTACACATGTGTATGAGTTCCAGTACACTTACTCAATCTATTACATAAAAAAACATATATAAAACATATATACAATCCTTTGCTTTAGTCCATATGTATGGGAAAGGAAAGATTCCCTGATGTATATTTGCATGGAAAAAAACAATGTACATTTAAACAAAGAGAATCATTTTAACATGAAGTATTTAAATAATTGATTACTATAATGGGGTTCTTGACCAATAAAGGGATACTGTTCATATTTGTATATACTTATATATACTTATATATTTATATATACTTAGGGGTTATTTATACCTAGTTGAGCTAAATAAGGATAAAGCTACTCATCACTTTCATGCAAAAAAGAAGGAGTTAAGGTCATTAGCTTAATGTGGCTCATAGTAAATCTAAAATTGGCTGGAATAGTTATGCTTCTGGTGATTAGAAGCTCATTGCATATTCATAATTTATTTACAATGTATTTAAAATGTTCCTTCAGATAAATGTTGTCACTATTGTAAAGACCATCCCTTCAAAAATGCCAATACGGAATCCAAGAAATGAAAGGTTATATAGACTCAAGATGTAATATGTTTACAACAGATAATCAGCGGTGACCGTTCACCCGTTCAGAAACTGGCGTACATACCAGGGTCGCAGGGGTCGCGACTGCGACCGGGCCCGGCCCACCAGGGGGCCCGGCCGCCCCTGCGACCCGGTATGTACGCCCAAGGCCAGCCTCTTCCCCTGGGGGGCCCAGGAGCCGACCACCCCAGGGCCCCCTGAGGCTGGCCCTGCTGACCCCGGGTGGCCGGTCGGGCAGGCAGGCGCGCGCGCGAGGGAGCACTCAGTGCTTCCTCTTCAGCTCCCTCGCGCACCGCAATGATACCGGAGCCGGAAGATGACGTCATCTTCCGGCGCCGGCATCCCTACGCGGCGCGCGAGGGAGCTGAAGAGGAAGCACTGAGTGCTCCCTCGCGCGCCCACCTGCCTGCCCAACCGGCCACCCGCCCAGGAGCCCCACTGGACCCCAGGGAATAATCCCCCCCAGCACTCCAAGAGGTAAGGAGGCTGGGGGGATTATATTAAAAAAAATAAAAAATCATGTGTGAGTGTTAGTGTGTGTGTGAGTGTTAGTGTGTGTGTTAGTGTGTGTGTTAGTGTGAGTGTTAGAGTGAGTGTTAGTGTGTGTGAGTGTTAGAGTGAGTGTTAGTGTGAGTGTTAGAGTGAGTGTTAGAGTGAGTGTTAGTGTGTGTGAGTGTTAGTGTGTGTGAGTGTTAGAGTGAGTGTTAGTGTGAGTGTTAGAGTGAGTGTTAGTGTGTGTCTGCTAGTGAGTGTTAGTGTGTTAGTGTGTGTGTCTGCTAGTGAGTGTCAGTGAGTGTGTTACTGTGTGTGTCTTACTGAGTGTGTGTGTGTTAGTGAGTCTGTTTGATGTGTTAGTGAGTGTGTGTTTGTCAATGAGAGTATGTTTTGTAAGTGAGTGTGTATGTATGTCTGTCGCTGACTGTATCTCTGTCAGTAAATGTGTGTGTCTGTTAGCTAGTGTGTATGCGTCTGTAAGTGAGAGTGTGTGTCTTCAGCACTTACCTTTCTCCAGCGCCGGACTCCCTTGGCGCTGAGGATCCCTCAGCCTCTCAGCTCCGAATGCGACCGCGCACGCATTCAAACCGCCCATAGGAAAGCATTACTCAATGCTTTCCTATGGATGTTCAGTGTGCTCCTCTAGCGGCTGTCCGTGAGACAGCCACTAGAGGCTGGATTAACCCTCAGTGAAACATAGCAGTTTCTCTGAAACTGCTATGTTTTCAGCCGCAGGGTTAAAACTAGAGGGACCTGACACCCAGACAACTTCATTGAGCTGATGTGATCTGGGTGTCTGTAGTGGTCCTTTAAAGGACCACTATAGTGCCAGGAAAACATACTCGTTTTCCTGGCACTATAGTGCCCTGAGGGTGCCCCCACCCTCAGGGACCCCCTCCCGCCCGGCTCTGGAAAGGGGTAAAACTTATCTTTTTCCACCTCTGGGCGGAGAGCTCTCCTCCTCCGATCCTCCTCTTCTCCCCGTCGGCTGTATGCGCACGCGCGGCAAGAGCTGTGCACGCATTCAGCCGGTCACATAGGAAAGCATTCATAATGCTTTCCTATGGACGCTGGCGTGCTCTCACTGTGAAAATCACAGTGAGAAGCACGCGAGCGCCTCTAGCGGCTGTCAATGGGACAGCCACTAGAGGAAATTGGGGAAGGCTTAACCCATTCATAAACACAGCAGTTTCTCTGAAACTGCTATGTTTATGAAAAAATGTGTTAACCCTAGCTCGACCTGGCACCCAGACCACTTCATTAAGCTGAAGTGGTCTGGGTGCCTAGAGTGGTCCTTTAAGTGTGTGTGCATCTGCATGCACTGGCGTACATACCGCGGTCGCAGGGGTCGCAGCCCTGTAACCCCTGCGACCAGGTGACCACCGCCATGTGTTGCGGCCCGGCCCGCGCGGGGGGGGGCCCACGGATCAATTTTCGCACCGGGGCCCCATGGGTCATGTGTACGCCACTGCGTTCAGATATCATATTTTTATCAATTTATTATCGCATACTCACCAGCAGTGTAATATGTGAAAAATGCCTGTGGTTTCCCACACGTTGGACCCCGTGATTTCTCGGGTAACGGACCACGAAATGGTCAACCTCTTTAATAGCTCTTAAGGAGTAAAAGAGACAGGCGTGCCATATAGGGTCCCAATGACTTACTGTGGATATAAAGTAATAAATTAGCCCAAATTAATGGACCAAAGGTAGAAAGTTTAAACAGTGTTGTAGTATTCTAAGTCATCCTACAAAAAGTGTTTGAGGTCATAGTCCTCATTCAAGCCATTCGGGTGGAGTGTTTCCAAAATACTAATCCACTTTGTCTCTTTACATAAAAGTGCTTTTTGTCTATCCCCACCTCTATGCAATGGTTTAACACCATCAATTACCTGAAAACGTAATTGATTGACATTATGACCATGCTGTAGAAAATGCCTCGGTACTGGTTTGTCACATGTCCCTTTCTGAATGGCAGCTCTTATGTCCCTCTTGTGTTCTCCTATGCGTATTTTCACTGGCCTAATTGATTCCCCAACATAGAGAAACCCATATGGGCATTTCAGAATGTAAACCACATATTCTGAGTTGCATGTGTAATATTCAAGTATTTTAAAGGGTTTGCCTGATCTTGGATGTACAAAACGATCACCCCTGATTATACTGTTGCAATGTATACAGTTTAGGCACGGGAATGTGCCTTTCTTAGGTTCAGAGAAAAATCTTCTCTGTTTTTTGTTACTGCCTATGTCTGAGTGCACTAATTTATCCCTAAGATTCTGTGCCCGTTTGTACGAGAACAGTGAAGGATTCCTAAATTCATTCGGCAAGTTAACATCGCCCTCAAAGATGTTCCAATGCTTTAATATGATTTTTTAAACAGCATTACTATAATGTGTGTATGGAGATATAAACTGAATTCTTTGTATAGTGTCCTTATTTCTGCCCATGGGGTTAAGCACTTCTTCCCTGTCCATGTCTGAAATCCTGGCTCAGTGTCGTGTCACTAGTTCTAATGGATAACCCCTATCAATAAATTTGTTGCACATGTACTCCATCCCTGGTTCTACACGATCTTCCTGTGAGATTATTCTTTTCACTCTCAGCATTTGGCTATATGGTAAGCCATCCGTAAGATGTTGGGGATGGTAACTGGTGTATTCCAGAAGATTATTTCTATCAGTAGGTTTCGTATAAATGTCTGTGTGCAGTTTATTGTCAATCAGATGTACCTGAGTATCCAGGAATGGAACCGTGTGTCTATCACAGGCCATGGTAAATTTGATGTTAGGGTCCAGAGAATTTAATTGGTTAAAAAAATTGTCCAATTGAACCCTCGTACCCCCCAACATACAAACACATCATCAATAAACCTCTTCCACGTGAAACATTTCTCAAACAATGGAGTAGTACATATGTGTAGTTCCTCCAACGTATTCATGTATATATTCGCATACGTAGGGGCTACATTCGAGCCCATTGCTGTTCCTTTGATTTGTCTATAAAAATTGTCTTCAAAAAGAAAATAATTCTCAGTCAGGACAAACCGTAGTAGTTCCAATATGTATGTCTTGGTATCTGAATATTGGTTTAATGTAGGGTCCTGATCTAATGTCCACTCAACTGCTCGTAATCCCCCTATATGATCAATTGCTGTATATAATGATTGAACATCCGTCACCAACCAGACCTCCGTGGAATGTTCAATACTGAGGTTGTTAATCAATTTTAAAAAATCATTTGTGTCTTTGATATATGATTTTTGTTTTGGAATGTACTTGATCAAGAATTTATCTAAAGTTACTGCTGGTGGTTGTAAAATGGAGTCCGTACCACTGACAATAGGCCTTCCTGGTGGGGTCTGTAAATTTTTGTGTATTTTCGGGAGGGTATAAAAGACAGGCATTGTGGGATATTTCTTAAACATGTATTTGTATTCTCCCTCTGTAATGATGCCTTTGTCCATGGCCACCCTATTTAGTGTCTGTAACTCTGTCTGTAACCGCTGGATGGGATTACCATCCATTGGTTGATAACTTGATGTGTCATTTAATTGTGTTCTAATCTCCTTGACATAATAATCCCGATCCATGATGATGATCAGTGCCCCACCCTTATCCGCCGGTTTGATAATGATCGAATTATCCTCTGCCATTCTTTCTTAGTGAAATTGGGTTTATGTTGAAAATTTCTACTCTTCCCCTGTTGCATTCTTCGCAGTTTCTTAATATCTTTTTTAATTAAATTAGAAAATATATCTATAGGCTGATTAAATATGTAAGGTGTGAATGTGCTGTTTGGTTTCAAACCTGTATTGAGTGGTAGTGATAAATCAGACGTTGGTGGTGTCGGTTGGTGTATCACTGTATTCTCCTGTCCATGGATGTTAGTCTGGGCTAAGATACTCTACCTTGTGTACATTTGGATATTGTATTTGTTGGTGTGGGTTAAGGGGATCCCACATAGGTGTTAGAGTATCAGACATTGTGTGGAAACTCACTGGGATTTTGTTTTTATACTGATTAAAACCTCTTTACTTATTCCTTTATTCATTCTATTTTTGCTTTTTGCTAACACCAAATGCTTTTGATTACTTGTGGCACTCATGACTTGCCCTTGTTTTAACTAACAATAAACAGAAACAAGAAGGCCAAGAATAGCTACACACATTGGCTTTAAAAACATCCATATTGTTTTCTTTTAATGAAAAATAACATTTTGAAAATCTTTTATCTATTTATGACTATCATAGCATTCATAGTCACATTGTGAGTCACCACGTGAAAGCCTCAAATACTAATACAATTAATTGCAAACGTTGAAGTTTATTTGCTAGACATTGAGTTGCAGTGTCCACTAACTTACAGCTTGCAAAACTGAAACCAGAATAACTAAGCTGAATAAAAACAAAAAATGTTCCAAGATTTTGGAAATTCATTATTCTCTGAAGCCATATACAATTAGATTATATAACTAAATGGCTTCTTTAGGAACATGTGCCACAGTATAGTACATCATTTATTTAGACACCAGAAAGAGCTAAACTCCTACTGTGACTGGGGAGATCTAGGTAAACATGGGTTTAATATCGGAGTCTGAGGCCAGAGTTAGTTACCCCAAGCTAGCTTATTATATGTGTGCAGGAATCAAAGTTAGTGATGCACACATTTATAGGAACCAGCATGGCTGTTCATACACAACCCACTGTTGTCATTTACAGCATCACTATGTATTCCTACCTTAAAGGTACACTACAGACCCCTGAAACACGTTAACTTGTGAAAAGCTTTATGTGTGAAGAGAGTATCCTCTTTTTTTTCCATTTTACAAAAAGTGCAGATTTCAATAGAAATTTTGACTTTTATACATTAACCTGGTTATATCCCCTGTCTTTTATGGTCCTGTTACTTCCTGGTTTGGTTAGCTGAGTGGAGTTAAACTCAAGAGGCAGCAATTGCCCAGAGCACCTGCCTTACAAAGGCTTCTAATTGAGCTGCACTTGGAAGTCTGTGACTGAACAGCAACAGAAAGTCTGGGCGGAGTTAGACAGGGAGGGTTTACAAAATATTCATCTGATTTTACATATACTCAAAATCAAAGTTTTTGGGGATTATCTACTAAACAGTAATTTATATTTACTTGGTATATGGGCAGTGGAGTGTCCCTCTAAGAGATCAGTGTCATCTAATTGGTCTCTCTAAATGTCTTCCCAGTTCAATCCAAATTTGGTTTTAGACCCTACATTGAGCTTGATGTCAATTGTTGTCTCTGATCAAAAATCATATCATACAGTTTATATCTCTGTGATTTATCTATACCCTCTCATGTTGTAATGAAACATTGCAGAATACTTTGAGAATTCTTTGTACTTTGCGTACTATGAAAATCACTCTACTGATATCAGCACTGCCTTCAGATTGAGGATTCTTTCTACTAAAAGCAGTAAAAGGAGGCTAAAGTTAAATTCGGGGTAGGTTATGGGTGGGTTTAGGGTTAGAAAACTGAAGTAAGGCTTGAGATACTGAGAGAGTAATTTAAAAGAAATTTTTTTTAGCACACATTAGACTCAAATAACTAGTAATAAACTAATAAACTCATATTTTTTAACCATGTACTGGATGACATCATCCATACACTACTATCCATAATTCACAGTATGACTTGCTTCATGCACAAACATGTCCTGGCTTATTAGTAGGAGTTACACATTCCATTTTTGCAACTGGGACATTTTAGTTCAGCCTCTCCTGATAATAATATTGTGGGAGAGGAGCTGAGAAGGCAGCTCAAGTCTTTCTCCCTACCTCCCGTGCCAGTATGTCAGAGACAGGCTAAATTAGGAGCTCTGGACTGCACGTTTGACTCCCTCAGCCATCCTTAACAAATCAGGACATATATGTATGAGTGCAAACTCAGGCTCTTAGACTAAGTCTCAGCCTAGCCTTAAATCTAACCTCAGCACTAAACCTGATGAAAAATCCCAAACCCAAGCACTAGCCGTAATTGTAAAAAAGAATTTATCATTTAGGTCTCATTGTTTATTACGATGTCTCCAGAACCCCCTGACAGCATTATTTTACTATAATACGTCATTCACAGTTATGTACCATCGTTATATTTTTCTCGTGTGTCTTGCACTGTTCATATGAGAGTGCACTAAATGAGTAATTGAAGAATTATGGTTGAACATATAGGATAAATTGAAAAAAAATTATGAAAAAAAACCAAAAACAATAAGCTTGGTACTTAAGGGGTTGAAAGTCAACGTATGCACCATAACCTCTACAGTATATTGGAGAAGTTATGGCATTAGGAAGCTCTGGATACGGTCCCTCTGGTTATATCAGTTTCACAAGCAGTTTGACATAACTGGAGAATTCTCTGACACATAACCTACACCACTCAGTTTGTGACATCACAATGATGAAGTTGTACCTACTAATTTGGTGACACCAAAACTTCATCAAACTGCCTATATTAAATGTCATGAGGGGTTAAACAGAAATGACTTTTGTATCATCTTTAGAAAGCAGATGTAACAGCTAACATTTCAGTTGTTTTAATGCTATTTTTATATTATGGGAACACAATTATTTTATATTAAAGAAATACAAACCTGCATTCCTAATGCTATACTTACTGTCCTAGTTGCAGATACATTTGAGCCCCCCCCACCCCCACTTTTCCATAACTTTTACTTACCTTTGCCTCCCATGATTCCTCCTGCAATGTCATCCTTCTCTCTATCTGATGGCCGACTCATGCACGTGTGCAGCGAATGCCGTGAATTCATTTAAATGCTTCTCAAAGAAAAGCATTACATTCAATACTTTCCTATGAGCTGCAACCTCATGTGATCGAGTATTACTTACTAGATGTGTGTTGATCCCAGCAATGAAACAATGTAAACAAAACATTGCAGGGTTAAAATGACAGGACCACTGCACCCAAACCACATCTGGTCTGGGTGAATTAAGTGGTTCTTTAATGTCAACGTTTTGTACTGAGTACGAATATATGCATCTATTCATGGACAAGGAATCAGGGAGAACTATTAAAGGTTCAAGACAATCACAGACACTCATGAAAATGATCTCTCTTTTTTTCTCAATAACGAAGATCATTATTTTGGAATATATAACCCTTTATATTGTGGTAATTTTGAAACTATTTTTAAAGTCAAAACATCTGGTAAAAATGTTATATCATTGTCATATTTATTCCTCATTATTTCTGTAGCGCATTTGTTTTATATTATTAGGATAACAGAGAAAATTGCATCTGGCCCCAATTCGATGCACAATTCATATAAATGGAATCTGCAGAATGACTCAATGTTTTACATTTTTTAGCATGTGTGCACATGGGAGTAATACAATGGCATTTCTGGGGTCACTAGAGAACAGACTTGAATACTGGCTTATATTTTGGAAATAAATGATAGACCAAATGATTAAAAGCAAAATAAGTTTCAAGAAACAGATGTTATTTACATGTTAAAGTGCGCTCCAAGAAAAACGTAAAAAAATTAGTGGTGGATGCCTTGGGTTAAAATAATGAGGCCTTAATAAGTTAAAGGTTCATTTATTATTTATGTCAGTGCTTCCAACTTTGCCCATGTGTTCATACGATTAAGACATAACACACCTTGCAAATACAAACAAAATATATAATCTAAGGCAGGGGTGAGCAATCTGCGGTCCTCCAGATGTTTTGGACTACATCTCCCATAATGCTCTTAGGGCCATAATGCTAGCAAAGCATCAAGGGAGATGTAGTCCAAATCATCTGGAGGGCGGCAGATTGCCCACCTCTGATCTAAGGGGATCCAATTCCTATTATCATTATTTGCATAGTGCCAACATATTCCACAGCTTGGAACAATGGGTAGAAGAGAAAAACAAGATGAATTTGATTGATATGAAAAGTAGTAGTGAGGTAGTGAGGATGAGCCTACAATCTAGAAAGAAATTGCAATTGTTTTTACAATTTTTGCATTTCTACATATCCTCTGTTGTATCCCCACAAATACATTTTCTTAACATTTTAACTTCATGAATGCATTGTAAAACCAGTTTATTAAATCGTGATTCTATGTAATTAAATGCAAATAAGGTCTAAAAATTCCTTGATCAGCATGCAGCATAGTGGGTGTGTACAGGTAATTAATAGATCTGTGAAATCTGTGTAATTAAAGTCAGTAAACAGATCACCTGAGGAAGATGATTAGTGCAATGTATTTAGGTCTTGTTCATGCATGTTTAATGGTGCAAAACTTTTGATTTATTTAAAGGGACACTTCAGTCAGGCACCAACAAAACTATTATGCAGTGAAAGTTAACAGGGTTATTCACTAAAGTCTGAATGCAGTCTGGATCAGCATCTGCTACAAAGTCAATAATTCTCACTTGTGAATCTCGTATCCCATATTATAGCAATAATATGTGCGAAATACCAACCTATCCATCAAGTGAACTCAATATAAACAAATCGCAAAGCAAAAGCACCTGCTTTATGCAGGTAAACCTTAGAAATCCACAGTATTTGCTCGCTGGCAGCCATCGGTCAAATGATTAAAGTAACATAATTACCTAAATCTTATTATTTAATAAAAATATTAAAGTAAATGTAATAACCTAAATAATATGTTTTTATCATTGGGATATATAGGACCACTCAATGGAGTCCTTTATCTCAAGGAGTTATCTATCAAACTAATGCTAATGATAGCTTTTTGTAATGATACTTACCTAAACTTCTCAGCTGCCTGCCTGCAAATTTACTCCAATCGAATTGTGTAAATTTAGTGAGACTTAATTTGCAGGAAGACACCCTCCAATTCACCGTATGTGTCACCGTATTTATGTTTGGTTACGTTTTTCCATCATTGGGTTTTGGATGCCAATGAATTGGCTGAAATCTGAAATTTAAGGTAATTCAGAGATTGCATGGGAAATTCCTGATATTGGTAAATCTTGTAACAAACTTGGGGCTTTGCAGTGAAAATAGCCCTGGATGGTACCAGATTATTTTAACAACATTTTAATGCCTCATCTATTGAATGCATAAACAGAGTGGAAAAGTCAGACTGAAAGCATCGCTACATACAAGTCTGATAAACACAGAATTTTGGAAAAGTTCCTTAAAGGGACACTATAGTCACCAGTGCAACTACATGTATTCCTGACCCTATAGTGTTAACACAGCCATCTAGCCCCCCCTGGGCCCCTCATGCCTCCATAAATTTAGTAAAAATCTTACTGTATTCAAGCCAGAAGCTGTAAATCTGCATGCTGTTAGAATCAGGAAAAACAAGCAGTCTGCTGACATGGGATCGCCTGATCCAATCACAGTGCTTCCCCATAGGATTGGCTGAGACTGACAAGGAGGCAGATCAGGGTCAGAGCCAGCATGATTCAAACACAGCCCTGGCTAATCAGCATCTCCTCATAGAGATGAATTGAATCAATGAAACTCTATGAGGAAAGTTCAGTCTCTGCATGCAGTGGGAGGAGATACTGAATCACAGGATGCTCGTGCACAGCAGATCTGAGTGGATGGAGGCATATTATGCCTCCATCAACTCAGAAGTCCCTCTGGTTCACTCTGAGTTACCGCAACTGGAGGTGTTCCTAGCTGTCAATGTAAACACTGTATTTTCTCAGAAAATACAGTGTTTACATGAGAAAGGCTGCAGGGAGCTATAGTTCTCACCTGAACAACCTCATTAAGCTGAAGTTGTTCAGGTGACTATAGTGTCCCTTTAAACAGATTCAGAAATAAAATTCAGAAAAGCTCCATTATAGATGCAATATTATAATATATTACATATTGCTGTCATCAGTCATGGCACTATGCACCCACCTAATTTGACAATAAACATTGGTGTTCCCTAAGGAATTAGTAAATAACCTCATCTTTCAAGGATAATCCTTCTCCATATGGGAAATGCTTCCTGCACAGCTATGATGGCACCTACTCTATTCAAACATAACATCCAGTTATTTAACTGGGCATAGGGATTTGGAAGAGTGCGCATGTAACTTGTTTATGGTTTTAATGCTATATTTTGGGACCTGTACTATATTCATTGTTGCCACCAATGAGTAGTGGGAGTTTGAGGGTAAGGCTTGATTTTGGATGTTCCTAAAATTTATAAAAGTTGCACTCCACAGCCTCCCCAGCATCCACAACTGCTAGGGGTACATCACAGTACACTCCTAGAATGTGTGTTATTGGGCAGAATTTGAATACTGAGCTGTAGTGATGCACACCATTATAAATAGTGCTGTAATGATAATGGGCTTATTAACATTGACATTGCAGTGTTGCCATTATAAAGCTCAGCATTTTTAACTCACTATTTTAACTGCAAGATTTTTAAATTGAGTCACATACAAGGTGGATATTTTTCTCCTTAATACATAATGAATGATGCATTCCTATGGTTTTAGCTGTCTTTTTCTCTGTGTCAGCTTGCACCACAAGACATTACAATGAATTGACACACCGTAACAATAATGTTGACAGAAAACAGACACCCAGAGCCCCATTTTTCTTTTCTCCTCCTCCTTCATAATATTCTATTCATTTATCTTGATAAACAGTAGTAAGCTTGGTCCTTTGTTTTGTTAATTGTAAGTCAAGCATGTGATGGATACAACATTTTTAACTCCCATTCTTCAATTCTGAGGTCATTTTTGGACTACGGGTCACAGTGGAAAGAGCATTAACTTAAAAAAAATGCATTACTTTAAATATAAAATAGGCAGCAATTTTGGTATGTTGGACAGATAATGTGTTCTCTTGATCATAAAGACAGACAAGCAAAATAGCTATTCTTCTCAATTTTAATTTTCATATAAAACATGACACTGCCTGTTGCAGTCTACGACGAGTATTGTAAAAACATAATTGGTATATTTCCCATGTACTTCTATTGTTATGGTCCCAATGCTATTTGGCATCTTTCATGACGTTTTCGTGGAAAAATTACCGAAGGCATTACCAAGGATTTAACCATAAGGAAGCACACATCCAAATAGCTGTAAAATTCAAGCTGCCACTTTGATTTCATCACACCCAAACCTTGTTGAGATCAAACCTTTGGGAAAAAAAGAAAAGGTTTCTAATCCAGTTAGACCAGCTGGGCTCCAACTCTCCGTGTTTTCAGAGAGTGGCAGGATTAGAATTCCTCAAAGAACTCCCTTGGATAGTTCTTCTCACCCAGCTTTAAAATAAATTGTTTCAGATTGTTAGCGTGAATGATTCCACTCTACAAACATGGAAACTACTTTAGCACAATAAGGAAAAGCATTCTAGAATATTGCTTGTATTTTATCTCTATGCTGAAAGCCATTGTGTTTCAAGTGCCAGTGGACAAAAGCTCATGGCAGACAGTTTTGTTGTGAATGCTAAGAGCATTAGAGCATACAATGTACAGAAATGTAGCTTTTATACGTGATGAGAAAAAGTATTTTTCTATATGGAATCCTGAATTTTATCAATCAGCTAAAGATGGAATATTAAACAGTAAAGAAAATAATATACACAAATAATTCAGAGAGATTTTGAAACATATTTACATATTCTATAGCTATCTATCTGTCTGCCTGTCTGTGTCTTTATGTCTGTCTGTCTGTCTGTCTATCTATCTATCTATCTATCTGTCTATCTATCTAATCTCTCTGCCCCTGTCAATTTTCTAATTTCTTAATCATGGACACTAATATGAAGTTGATCTCTCTTTAGTTTAACGGTCGATAATCTGCTTGGAATACTTCACGCTAGATGTTGGAACATGGGGATGTTCTTCCATTCAACCTCAAGAACATTAGTGAGGTCTGACACTGAAGTTATTCATTTTGACTTGGCTCACAGTTATTGTTCCAGTGCATCCAAAGATGACAGAGTTAAAGTTAGGTCTCTGTGCATGCCAGTCCACTTATTCCATATCAGTTTCAAGAAACTATGTAAATATGGTGCACAAGTCGGAATTGTGATGATGAACCACAAAAATGGCCTTACCTAAT